GCCCAGGCTGGTCTCGAACCCCTGAGCTCAGGCAGTCCTCTCACCTCGGCCTCCCAAAGTGCTGGGATTACAGGCTTGAGCCACTGCGCCTGGCCAGCAGTTACTTTCATAGTTAGATTTCATTGACCTTGCCATCTGGATTCAATATTCTCTGGGCACTAGTCCTTTTGGCCTGCCCCGGTTATTATTAAGTTGTGTTTGTGCTTCCAGCCCCTCTGCTGTGCTTCATGGAACCCAAGGATAGCCCTGGAGAGCCTCTGTGAGGAGGGTAAGGGAGGAAACCTGATGTGGCTGCTGGCCCCCTTGGAGTATCCCATCTTCTCTAGTGCTGGTGAAGGTCAGTGGGAAGGAGCCTGGGCTTTATTCTGCCTTTTTTTTTTTTGAGTCTGGGTCTCACTGTCACCCAGGCTGGAGTGCAGTGGCATGGTCATGAGTCACTATAGCTTTACCTCCTGAGTTCGGGTGATCTTTCTGCCTCAGCTTCCTAAGTAGCTGAGACTACAGGTGCATGCCACCACACCTGGTGAAATTTTTTATCTTTTGTAGAAAGAGGGTCTCGCTATGTTCCCCAGGCTGGTTTCAAACTCATGGGCTCAAACAGTCCTCCTGCCTCAGGCTCTCCAAGTGCTGAGATTACAGGCATGAGCCACTGTGCCTGCCCTTATTCTGGTTTTTGAAGAAGGGTTTCTGAAGCGGCTTTGTAATTGGGAGACCTGGAATACCCTGGAGGGGGAAGGTCCTGCAAGGCAACAGCTGTCAAAAGCACATACAAGTGAGCACATCATCGATGATGTCACACTGTTTATGTACTGCTTGATGCTTTGTTTTTCTAAAGTGGCCCTGTGCTTCTGGAGGGCTGAGGCTGGGCTATGACCTTGTCCCCCAGTCTACTATGCACAGCCTAATAGGTGCTCCTCTGTGCTGCAGTCCACTGCTAAGTTCTGACTCCATGCTAGGCACCCTACTAGGCTTTCCTACCATCAGTATGTGGAGAGTAGTGTCTTCTTGAGTCTCTCTTCTTTGCTGAAGGTCACTCTCCTACAGGTGGCTGTCTGCTAGGCCTAGAGCCATGCACACACTTGTGTTCCTGAGCACACGGCAGGTGCTCCAGTGCCAGCCAGCTGCCTGCAAGGCCCTGCCCCTGCTGCCACGCGAGCTCTTTCCCCTGCTGTTCAAGGTGGCCTTCATGGACAAGAAGACGGTTGTACTCCGTGAGCTAGTACACACATGGCCCTTCCCACTGCTCAGCTTCCAGCAGCTGCTGCAAGAGTGTGCCCACTGCAGCCGGGCCCTCCTGCAGGAGCGGCCCAGCACTGAGAGCGTGCAGGCCGTGATCCTGGGGCTGACTGCTCGGCTCCATACCCCAGAGGCTGGGGCTGGTGCACAACCCCTCTGCAGGTATGGACTCACCTAAGTGGCCCTCAGGCTTGTGGGGGTGGGTGCAAAGAGAGTCCCCTGAGAAGGTTCTAGGCTGGGGTTCTGAACTTAGCAAGAGCTCAGTGCAGGAGCAGGCACATTGCTCCTGTCCCAAGGTGGCTGGGAAGGGTTGTGGGCTCTTCCCCTCATCCCCTGTCTCAGACCATTCCTGCTCCCAGGAAGCATGTGCTGCGGGTGCTGGACATGACAGGCCTCCTGGACGACGGTGTGGAGCAGGACCCTGGCACCATGAGCATGTGGGATTGCACAGCAGCTGTGGCCCGCACATGCATTGCCCAGCAGCAGGGTGGGGCTGTAGAGCCTGGGCTGGCCCCTGTCCCTGTGGAAGTGCGTGTGGACCTGCGGGTGAACCGGGCCTCCTATGCATTCCTGCGGGAGGCACTCCGAAGCAGTGTGGGCAGCCCACTGAGGCTCTGCTGCCGGGACTTGCGGGCTGAGGATCTGCCCATGCGCAACACTGTGGCCCTGTTGCAGCTCCTAGACGCAGGCTGCCTGCGCCGTGTAGACCTGCGCTTTAACAACTTGGGCTTGCGTGGCCTGTCTGTTATCATCCCACATGTGGCCCGCTTTCAGCACCTGGCCAGCCTGCGGCTGCACTATGTGCATGGGGACTCAAGGCAACCCTCTGTGGATGGTGAGGACAACTTCCGCTACTTCTTGGCCCAGATGGGCCGCTTCACTTGTCTGCGGGAGCTCAGCATGGGCTCCTCTCTCCTTTCAGGGAGGCTGGACCAGCTGCTCAGGTGAGTGGGCCTCACCATTGCCCTGCCCTTCTCCTTTATGGGGACCCGCCCCGGCTCTGCTTGTCTGTGACCCCTGTGTCCCCCATAGCACCCTGCAGAGCCCCTTGGAGAGCCTGGAGCTGGCCTTCTGTGCTCTGCTGCCTGAGGACCTGCGCTTCCTGGCAAGGAGCCCTCATGCTGCCCACCTCAAGAAGTTGGACCTGAGTGGTAATGATCTCTCCGGTAGCCAGCTGGCACCCTTTCAGGGTTTGTTGCAGGCAGCGGCAGCCACACTGCTGCACCTTGAGCTGACTGAATGCCAGCTTGCTGATACTCAGCTGTTGGCCATACTACCTATCCTGACTCACTGTGCCAGTCTCCGCTACCTCGGTCTCTATGGCAACCCACTGTCCATGGTGGGCCTTAAGGAGCTACTGAGGGACTCAGCAGTGCAGGCTGAGCTGCGTACTGTGGTGCACCCCTTCCCTGTGGACTGCTATGAAGGCCTGCCCTGGCCACCGCCTGCCTCTGTCCTGCTGGAGGCTTCCATCAATGAGGAGAAGTTTGCCCGTGTAGAAGCTGAGCTACACCAACTGCTGCTGGCCTCAGGCCGCGCCCATGTGCTGTGGACCACGGACATCTATGGGCGACTGGCTGCTGACTACTTCAGCCTATGATTGCAAGACTCTGGGTGAGACATAGGCCATCTTGCAGTCTCTTTGGGTAGGCAGTGCTTTTGCTAGGACCCTGCTGGAGGCCTGACACAAAAACACTGGTTTCCAGTTTCCTGCGCGGTCTGCCTTGCTCCTGGACACACCTTGAGCCCCCCACCCCCTTTCTGCAGTGCCCTGTGCGATTTGCCCCACACCTTCCCCCTAACTGGTTGACTATCTGTGGGCCTCAGGGCTGGACTTCAAGCCTGCACTGCACTGCTCAGTTTGGCTGCCCTCCGGGGTCCTGGCTGTATCTCCTAATATTTTAGGATCCCAGCTGTGAGCTGTGAGAGACAGGGATCTCTGGGTCCCTCCCCCATTCCCTTACAGAGAGCCCAGTGCTCTGAGGTTGAAGGACGTGCCTGCTTCAGGGAGGCTTGGGTCCCTTTGCACTCTGGGGCCTTTTACATGTGTCCTGCCTAGCACCCAGCCACCCCATTGGGCTGAGCTCTGGCACTGGAGGGTGTCATCAAGGTACAAACGTGCAGTATGTCTGGAACTTGAATTTGTGACTCTTTTTTTCTGTCCTAATTGGTCGGTAACTGGTTCCCATCTTGCTGTCACCCCCAGCATGGTCACTAGGCAACAACTGTCATCCAGCCTGTTGCTTCCGCCTCCTTTGCAACCCCACCAGCATCGCCAGCCAGTCCTTGCTCCTCTGCCCTAGCCACTTTGGAGAAGCCCAAGACCCTACAGTGGGCCGTCCAGGGCCAGGGAAGGGCCTTCACAGAGCTGGAGGTTGGGGATATCTCGGAGAGAATATCTTTTCTGGAGGGCCTCAAGGGGGGTTGTTGGGACCTCCCTTCCCACCCTACATTGATAAGCGAGGACCAGTGTGCAGCACTTCAGGCACCCCTCTGTACCAACTCCCTTGCCCCGCACCCCATGGCCCCCAGACACAGCTCGGCGTACACTGCGCGGCTTCCACCTTTACTGACGGAGCATGCGCGAGGCCAGGCCGGCCAATCCCCGGCGCCTACGTCATCCGCGCGCGCCGACCTCAGCAGTGGATCTCGTAGGCGACTGGCGGCGGGACGCGGAGCCCGGGCACAGCCCCCTCGGCTGAAGCGCGGTCTGCTGGTGCTTCCACCGGTCCCTCAGAGAAAAGCGGCTTGGAGCGGTCGATGACGAACATTTCGTGGCCACGCTCGTCGCGGAGCTCCTCGAGCTGTGCGAAGGTGCAGGGACCGTCCGAGTAATCGTTGACAAACAGCGCGCCTTCCCCCGGCGGCGCCCGCGCCTTTTTCCGTCTGCGGCGCCGACGACAAATCATGGCAGTCAGCAGCAGTGCTGGGAGCGCCAGCAGCGCGATAGCCGCCGCGATGGCCGTCTGCGTGGCTAGGCCCAGGGCGCGGAAGGCCATGCTCCCCGTCTCGGGCCGCGGCGCGTGGCCGACGGGTCGGGGGGCTGGAGGCGGCGGCGGCGGTGGCTGCTGTCGGGAAGGCGTTGACCAGAATGCGGACGGCACGCGGGCGGCGCCGCCGGCGTTGGTGGCTTCGCACTCGTACTTACCGGCGTGCGCCAGCGTGATGTTGGTGAGGAAGAGCATACCGCTGCCCGTGTCCGAGGCCGCATGCCCACCCAGGCCCGGCGCCCCGCCTTCTAGCTGGGCTTGGGCCCGCGGTTGGCCCTCGCGGGGCTGGGACACCTTTTTCCAGGTCACCAGGGGTTGCGGGTAGCCGGAGGCCTGGCAGGCTACTCGCAGGTCCTCACCCAGGTTGGCTGTGAGCTCCAGCGGCTGCACGTGCACAGAAGGCGGAATGCAGATGAGGCTGCTGTGGGATACGTCCAGGAGACTCTGAAGCGCCAGGCGCGGGGGCTCTGCACACATGATCTTCTTGTCCCTGGAGCTGAGCAGCCGCTGACCCCCTTCCTTGATCCAAGCGCCTAGCCAGTGCAGGGCGCAGTCACAGCGCCATGGATTCTCTGTGAGAGAGCAGCAGCAGCGTGCAGGTGGCTTGGGGTGGCTCTATAACGCAGCCTGTGCAGTTTGGTTCTGCTGGCTGGCAGAGCAGGAGCCTATTTCCCACCTCCCACAGCCCCTGCACACGGAGTCAAGGAGCCCTGCAACCCATCTCTGATCCCAAGCTCCTTGGGGTGGGGGCCCTTCACCCCTCCTCCCTTTTAGTTCTGTGATGGCCTGTTTTAGGCCACTTTTCCACCAGTCTCTGAGAAAGCACCTGCTTCTCTTAAGTGTTCCTGAAACAAGTCTCATTGTTTTAGGGAAGCTCAGTGTCCACATGGACATTCTACCAGCATTAAAACCTTGCATGTTCTCTCAGTCTTGTCCTGGAGTGTCCTCTCCTGGATATGCTGCAAATCCTGGTCAGCTGTCTCCAGTTTTTGACTGCCTGCCCACTGATGGCCCCAAAGTGTGCAAAACCCTCAATTCTGTTAAGCCAGTCTGTCTTAGGCAGGGTATCTAAACTGTGCTCCCACAAGCACCTCCATTTTTTGCAGCCCTCCCCCGTGGTTGCAGGTATTGATGTGGCCCTCCAGAATGTTGCCCATTGCCTACCGTTGGAGCCTCTCCCCACCCCCCTCGCTACATGTGGGCCTGCTCCCTACTGCCACCGTTGGGGTCAAGGCAAAAACCTTTTCCCAAATAAGATGTACCTGTGAGCCGCAGGACTTGCAGGCTGGCCAGGGGCTGCAGGGCCTCTCTGCTGATGGTGCCCAGCTGGTTCCTGCTGAGATCCAGCAGGGCCAGGGAGGACAGCCCAGCCAGAGCCTGATCCTCCAGCAACTCAATGCTGTTTTCTTGCAGGTGAAGCTCCTGCAGTCGCTGAAGCAGGAACAGCAGATCATCAGGAAAAAGGGGGGAGTGGGTTCCCTTCTTACCACACTAGACTAGGTTGACTTTTTCCCCCTTAACACTCCAGCTCGGCAGGGCGAATGGCGGTACAGGAGGATCCCACCCTTTTTTGGCCTCTGGCGCTCACCGGCAGGTGCAAGAAGGTGAAATCCAGCAGCCTCGCCAGCTGGTTGCCTGCTAGGTAGAGTACACGCAGCTGGGCCAGTCCCGTGAAAGCGCCGCCGCGCAAGCCGCGCAGCCGGTTGCCGGTAAGCGCCAGCTCGAGCAGGCGCGGCTGCGCGCGGAAGGCGCCGGATTCCAGGGCGCGCAGGCTGTTGTTGTGCAGGTAGAGACGGCGCAGAGCGGCAAGCGGCGCTAGAGCGCCAGGCTCCAGGCGCGCGATGTTGTTGTCCTGCAGGAACAGTGTCTGCGGGCCAGGGGAAGTAGAGATGCTTACCTCACTGCGAGGGTCTTCTTTTCTCCGGGGGCGCCCCAGCCTCCCGCAGCCCCACACGGTGCCCACCTGCGTCCCGGGCGGGATTCCCGGCGGGATGACGCGCAGCCGCAGGGCGCCGCACTCCACCGTGGCACTGTAGCAGCGGCAGGCTGCCGGGCACCCAGTGGCACGAGGTGAAAGTCCGGGCAGCAGCGGGGGCAGCAGCAGCAGAAGCACCAGCGCAGAAGCCCCAGGGGCCATTTCCCAAGGGATCGGCTGCCTATTGGCTTCCCCACGGTCCGGCCCCGGATGGAATGCCCCTCCTGAAACACAGGTTGGAAGCCCAGTCCTAACATTCAAGAACCAGCGCAAGAACACAAATGGAGGCTCACACCCTGTGTCTAACTTTGGAGAAGTTATAAATCAAGAAATTTAGAATTCCTGGTGTCCTCAGAGTCTCCTCAAAGGATGTGGCCATGTGGGGAGAGCCTTCCCAACCTCAGCCTTCTACTCCACTCCTGCCCCACACTTTCTGCTCATCACGTGGATATCCGGACAACTGGCCACTCCTTTGTTTTAGGGTGCAGGAGTGGTGCAGGGTATGAGCTTGGGTGGCAATGGGCTATTAGTCAGAGAGTAGACCATGGGCAGACATGCTCCCTTGTGTTTATCCTGTGAGTACTGGCGTGAGACCTCCTGAGGTCCAGAGCAAAGGTCTATTTTGTGTCCCCAGGGCAAAGTCTAGGGTCCCACTTGACTCTAACCCAGGTCCTTAACCAAAAAGTCATCTTGTTCCTAGAACTCATGTTCTGTTCCCCACCCTGGGACAGATCAAGCCTCTTATGACTTGGTCAGGGATATAGGCAGAACTGGTCTCAGAGGAGTCACTTGCCACGGTTAAGTTCAGGGACAACTTTGTCCAGCCCCTGCTCCTACCCGCCTAGGGGTGGGAGTGGGTGGACCAGCTAACTAGAATTGGGTTTTTTTCTCAAGTAACTTGTTAGATAATTGGAGAGTGAGACAAACAATAGGAAAGTCAGCTTAGATGCCATGGACCTATGCTTTCCACGCTGGCTACCAGAAAGGTGTACTTGGTGATAGGTGGGGCCCTGGAAGAGCTGGGGCGTGACAGGGGCACTGGGTCATCCACTGAGTTTCTAGTGTAGTTTCCCAAGTAGGCTCTGGGAGTATGACCTCTGAGACCACGAGGGAGCATGTAGTTTGCTAGAGGATTTTACACATTGCAACTGTAGCCCTACAAAGATTAGAAGCCAGGGGTCTGGTTCCAGGAACAATGAGCCCAGTTTAAAAGGTGGAAACCTGGGCTTACAAGGCAGCATGTCTGGAGCCAGGGAAGACAGGGCTGAGGATGTCCTGTTTCAGCCTCACCTGGTTGGTCTCTCCTCTGAACACCTGCCTGTCCACCAGGTATCCCTGCTTGCTGTGAGTCATGTGGAAAGGTACCAAGTGACCTTGGTCTTTGTTTAAATTTTACCCTAAATTGTAATTCACATGATTGTTTAAAGTCACTTGAGATAAGGTAAGCACAGCAATAAAGTTTTAATGAAATAGCTTTGGCCCAGGCAGAGGCAGTTCCCAGATGTCTCAGGATGTGTATGAACCCCAAGAAGCTCAGGGCACTCACTGGGCCCCTGGGATCCATTTCTCCAGAGTACAAAGGGCTGGCCCATGGCCCCTGACCAGGTCCACCCAGCTTCCAGCAGCAGGGCTTCTCAAGTAGAGAAGGTTCTTGTCCTCCTCAGAACTCAGGGTGCTGCTGCTCATGCTGACCACTCTTCCCCCCCAGATGCAGATTGGTGTAGAAGGGCTGGCCAGGACAGGGATGAGGGCTCCAAGCAGGAAGGGCCCGAGATCCTTTTACCAGAGGACCAACCCCTAATCCGCTGGGCAGGGCATCACACACAGATTTCCATGATGGCTGTTACTGCCTCCTGGGCGCCTGTCTGTGAGGGAAGGTGGGGGTGGGGGGAAGAGGGTGGAAAGCCCTGTGGCCCCCACAGCGGGCGCAGTGCAAGGCCCAAGCCGGGGTCTCTGAGCGCTGCGTTCTGAACTGTCCTTGCGATTCAGTGCCTCGATCCTCTAGGGCCTCCCCTGCCATCTCCTCCTCCCCCCATCGCCATCCCCCCGCCCAGCGCCAGTCGGCCCCCGGCTGGGTTCAAGGAGGGCGTGGCCTCCGCATCACCCATTCCCCGCCAGGACGCACGTCCTTCTCAGGGTGCACCGGGGTCAAAGCCGGGACGGTCCTTGATTCCGCCCCGGTGACCTTGGGTCGGGCGTCCCCTCACCTGACGCTCCGGCGGCGAGAGGCTCCCCCGCCGTGCCTGCGGCGGCCCCGGCCCGAGCAGCGGCTGGGCGGGGAGGCGGGGGGACGCTCGCGCACGCGCACCAAATCTCCGTGCCTTCTGCCTCCACCGCCAGAGCCTGACGTTGCGAGCGCGGGCCAATCCAGAGGACGCCAGGAGCCGGGTGCGAGGGGAGAAGCGCGTCGTTGGGAGAGTAGAGGGTCCGGTACGACCGGGCCGCGGCAGCACCTTGGACAGCGCCAGGCGGGGCCGCGGTGCTTCCGCGCGCACGCGCACTCGGCCGGCGCGAGCGCAGCGACGCGGGCCTTCTAGGGTGCGGGGACGCCGGGAGAAGAACCCGGGGCCTGTCGAGGGGGAAAGGCGCGGGTATGCTGGGGAGCCGGGTATGCGCTGGGAACGCCGGAGAGCTGGGGGTGATGCTGGGGGCGCCGGCGGCTAAGCCGGGAATAGCAGCGGGGCCAGGTCCATGGTGAGGGCGAGGCGATGGCCCTGCCAGAGCACGTGAGTGGGCAGCGCAGGCTCGCCGGACCCGTACTCGAAGCAGGCGCTGAGCTCGAAGGCCAGGGCAGAGCGCACCAGGCCCACGCCGCCCGCTCGCTCTGGCGCCGGGTGGTACAGGCGCCCGTTGGCTGCCAGAGGCAGCAGACGCGCCGGCTCGAAGGGCACGGCCAGGGCCTCGCCGCCGCCGCAGTAAGTGAGGCGTGGGGGCCCGGGACCGGCGGCCAGCAGGTGCGTGAAGACCACTGGCCGGTCCTCACAGCGCAGGAAGTTGCGCTCTCTGCCACAAGGTGAGAGAAAGGGGAAGGAGGCCTCGTAGCGCCCGCTGCGGTTGGGTCTCAGACGGGAGAAGAAGGTGACCAGGAACTGCAGGTCTAGGGGAGTGAAGGGCGCGGATGCTCACCATGCTGGGTGCCCAAGGCCTTCGGGCCCTGTACCACACCAAGGGATGGCGCTGGCTGTTGGAGGGTCACCATTAGCGGCGCTCCTGAGCCAGGACGCACACTGCCTTGGTGTGGGTGGCCCGCCGGCAGGGTGGGGAGCGGAGCCCATCCAGGGCTGCTCTGGAGGGAGAATGAAGGGGAAGTGGAGGGCAGTGCAGTAGTACCTTTGAAGCAGGTAATGAAATTCTTCATTTTGGAATCATCCAGGAAAAGCTGCAGACAAAGGGGTAGGCAGTGATGAGTCCCAGGGGACAGGTAGGGGCAGGGAAGCTAGGGCGGTCCTGAGGCCTGGCCTGTGCCCACTTTCCTTGCTTGTCTGTGCATACAGTGTGCAAGGAGGCTTGTGGAAGGTAAACCTTGGGGCCCTGCAGTTTCTCTGCATCTATCCGCACGCCAAGCCGTGCTTTCTTGCACAAAGTTTCCTGGGCCGGCAAGCCTTTCCCGTATCTTCTCCCTCTTTTCAAGTTTCTAATCATTTGTGCCACCTCCTCCTCGAACGGGCAATGCGGCCTGGCTGTTTCCTCGGCAGTGGCGAGATTTCAGCGTCGGAGCCAGGGGCCTGCAGGGCAGGTCAGGATCCGGAGCTGCACAGCGCAACAGGGATGCGGCCTGTGTGGGAGACTGGCCGCTGAGGGTCGGAGTGCCTAGGCCCCTGGGCCTAAATTGACCCAGCAGCCCGAGTTTTTTCATCGCGCTGCCCCAGTCTGTACAGTCGGGATCTTTTACCTTGTAGGCTCCGCCCACCCCTCAAGCCCCTCCCCTCCAACGGGAGCCCCCTCCCGTCCCCAAACCCCGGGGAGGACCTCTCTCCGGCTAGCCCCTCACAAGGTCCCCCCTCCCTCTGGCTCCACCCCTCACAGGAACCCACCCCTCCAGCCCCGCCACCGCGTGTACAGGCTCCGCCCGGGCCCACCTGACCCTGGTGGTCCACATAATAGAAGTACTCGCGTGTCCGGGGCTCGGGACTCTGGCCTTGCGTGTAGGGGATGGCCCCGTCTCCGCTGCAGGCCCGGGCTCCCCGCAACCGCACCAAGGCGAAGGCCCGGAGCGCCCCGCTCGGCGGCCACATTCTCCTCCCCGGCCGGAAACGGCCGGCAGGTCACGAGAGAGGCGGTGCTGCGCGATCACGTGCCCCTTGGGTGCAGTAGCCTAGGGCTTTGCGTTCCGGCGGCGGCCGCGGAAATCGCCCACCTGGCTGCGCCCAACTCCCCTACCCCAGGCGGCGCTGAGTGCCCTTCCTTTTCCTTAGGGCGTTTAGCAGCCGCCCGCCCGAGGGCGAGGGCGAGGGCGGAGGCGGGTGGGAGATCCGGGAGAAGAGTCGGCGGGGACCACCCCGCTCTATTGGCCTTGTATCTCCTCTACCCCCTAGGAAAGCAGGCTCGTGGGACAGTCTGCTTGCTCCACTCGGTGTCCAGAAAAGATCTGGTTAACCGCCCAGAGACTTGTGCCGACGGAGGGGTGGTTAGAGAAAGCCCAATCCCTGCGGATTCGGGCTCGGACCCAGGATCACAAGCAGCACCCCTATCCTCCTCCCAACCCGCCATCCCCTAAGCCGCCGTCCAGTCGGCCCGAGTTTTGCGCGTCCAGCCCCCAGACCCCGCGGCAACGGGAAGGAACAGGAAGCAAGTGTCCATAAGTACTTTATTCACACAAAGTGTTGTTGCCTCTCGGGTCCATGCGTCAGGGCGAGCGAGCGTCTGTGGCCGGGCCGCACCCGCCAGGGACCCGAGACCATCCGACTGAGGACGCCCCTCCCCCAGGGAACAACCGGGCCTCGGCAGGGCCGGGCTTTTTTGTTTTTAATAAATAAAAACTCAACTCTAAAAAATATATATATAAAAACTGGGGAGAAATTAAATTTTACAACAATCGGAACTCAAATTCCAAAAATGGAAAATGTACAAACAGAGTTTAGGTACCCCCAGCAGCTCTGGCCTAAACAAGGGCAGTCCTGGGCCCCCCAGGCTCCTTCCGTCTCATCTGCTGCAGGTCCAGGATGGGGTAGGGCTTGGTTTTTGGTCAGAAGCCAAGAAAGGTTGGAGAAGAAAAAAAGGAATGATACCAACTTGCTCTGCACAGAGGACGAGGACGGCTCAGAGATAAATAGCATTTGGGTTAAAACTATGTCATTAACAAATTTAGCTCTTATATCTTTCGCTCTATTTATATCTCTATACACTGGTGGGCTGGGTACAGGATAGATTCTGGATTTACAGTTACACGAAGAAAAAATACTCTCGCCCCTCCCCCACCCTGCCCCAAGAATGCCTGCCCAGCCCTGCCCCCAACCCCAGAGGACTTTGGTTTGGGGGCCCCTCCCCACCCACCTGCCAGGTCCCGGGCCTGCTGGGCCCTGCTCAGGTGTTGGGCAGCCTAGTGCCCTGGAGCCCCCAAACTCCTGAGCAGTCAGTCACCAGCTGGAGGCCACCGGCAGGGGTAGGAGAAAACAGAGACAGGTCCGGAAGCTCCCTCGGGGGAGGGCAAGGACTAGGGAGAGCTACAGGCAAGGAGACCAAGGGATGAAGGAAGCAAGGGAAGAATGGGGCAGCCGGGCAGGGCCAGGCTGAACACAGGAGCCCCAGGGAGACAGCCCAGCCCCAAAGGAGGGTGGCGTGTGCTCTCGGGCCGGCCCGGGAGGGGCAGTGTCGCTCGGCTCCAGGAAACAGAAGGCACTTTCTCGGGGCTGACCTGCGTGGCCAGCGGTGGGCGAGGCGGTGCCCGCGGGAACTGGCCATGAGGTGGGGGGCCAGAGGCGCCCTTCCCGCAGCTCCTCTGCGCTGGCTGCACCCAAGACCAGGCAGACGACAACGTGGGGAGCGCCTGGGGCTGAGGGCCTGGGGGGAGGGTAGGAGGTTCCAAGGCTGGGGCGGGCAATTCTGGCACCTCTGCTCAGAGAGCAAGTGTGGGATTCGGCCGGGTTGGGGGATAGCGGCCAGGGCGGGCATCGGGCGGGGCCTGGCATGCTACCTCCGCGGCTGGGACGTTCCCTCCCCCCTCCCTGCGTGCTTCCCCCACTGCCGGGTGCACCCGCGCTCCCGGTCTGTCCCCGCCTGTGGGTCCTTGGGCGCCCGCGTGCTATAGCACGCCTTCCATGAAGCTGGTGTCCAGATGCTGGATGAGCACGCGCAGAAAGGACATCTCCTTGCGGGTATTCTCGAAGATGACGCGTGGGTCGTCGGACTGGCAGCGTAGGCAGTTGGGCGCCATCACCATGGCTAAGTTGCTGACGTCCATCTTGGTGATGGCCACGTTGGCTGGCTGCACGAACACCTGGGCGGAGGGTGGAGGGTAGGCGGGGC